ACCTCAGTTCGCCACAAACCACGTAGGTATGTCGCATTTGTTACTCTGTAAAACTGACAGTTTAAAGTACAAATAACAATAACGACGACAACCAACCCTTATCGCACTAAGTAGGGTCAGCTATATGAATCCTAAAACGCTATTGACAGTTTAAAAAGTATTGTTGGTTAAGTTGTTCTAATTGACTGAATGTTTCTTCCAGTTTAATCTGTAGCCAATCTAGTTTTATAACTTTTAACTGTTGGTGTCGGAGCATATGCATCAATGAGCTCAGCTAACTGTTCATAATTCTTTGATTCGGGAGAGTTGATTTGCATCTGTTTGGTTATTTTACTGATTTTGCAGGTCATTTTCTTTTGACAAATCTTTTGTTGGATACTATGAAGAAAACAGCACGCAAAAGCGGCAAAGAAGGGAGAATCGTAAATGTGTCCTCAGAAGCTCACCACAACCCGTATCCTGAAGAAATTCGTTTTGATAAAATTAACAACCAAGCAGGGTAACATTGAGATAATTCTTAGTTTTTAGATATTTAGATAGTATTATATACAATTTAGTCGCATGAGTCACACATAGGACTTTGATTAAAAGCGGGTGGAGCTTATGCAAGAAAGTTTGGACTTGGATTTTGGTCATATCAGTACTCCTGCACAAGTTAGTCGCGTATTTTATTTGTTTTCGGTGTGTTTCCTCGGTTTTAGCATATGCTGAATGGAGGGAGTTTGATATGAGTCTAATCCTATCTGCAGGTACAGCAGCTTTCGTGCATATGGCCAATCAAAGCTTGCTAACATTTTGCATGCTAATGACTTGCAAGACGCTTAAAGGTAATCAGCAACGTTAAATCAGCAGAATCGTGATTCTGAAAATACCCGCTCGCGTGCATTGGTCCAATACGTCTGCACTTTTACATGTAGATATAAACACACATTACCTTGTTTTATGTTTATGGCAGTCATGGTGTGTTGAGTGAAGAAGGAGCAGATATAACTGCAAACTTGCTTCACCCTGGTGCAATTGTTACCAATCTGTTTCGTTATGGCAGCATTATTAACGGTAAATCACTTCACTAAACCAACTATGTGAGTCTTATTTAAATGTATTCCGATATAATCTGCATACTATCGCTTGTCGAGGAGGTTTGTATTCAGTGTGTGTTCAAAGTTTAAACCGAACCAAAATCGAAGTCAATCTACAAATCTCAAATTTACATATTCATTATCAACTTTCTTAGTTTCGGATAATCAGACGTTTGGTTTTCTGGTTTGATGCAGGGCTTGTTAATGTGCTTGGTAGAGCTGTGCTTAAAAATGTTCAGCAGGTAAGTTACATCTGCTTGAACCTCTAGAGCAAACAACATACCAAGCGAATTTGAATAATTCGAAATATGATGAACTTCCAAATAGTCGTTTAAACGTAGAATGTCGTGTTGTTTATTAACTTTGTCGATTACAGGGAGCAGCAACGACGTGCTATGTGGCACTGCGTCCACAAGTCAAGGGGGTGACCGGCGAATATTTCTCGGACTGTAACCTATCCAAGCCAAGGCCACAAGGTCAAGACGTAGAGATGGCAAAGAAACTATGGGATTTTAGCATGGATTTGACTAAATGATCTTCTCAAAACTTAAACTCTATGTAAATACTTAAGGGAGTGCCCTTTGTGCTGTGTCGTTTTTAGGGTCAACATGTTCTAAGATTCATACAACGGACTCTCCTTACTAGAATAGCGGTGGTTGTTTGTTGTTTGAATAATAGACTCCAAGAATGCTGTTACTTATAAATCAGAAGTTGAACAATATCCTTTTAAAGTGAATAAACTCCTTTTTCTGCTCGTAACCTTGTCGTTTTGATTCAAGATTGCTTTTCGTTTGATATCTTGTATCAAGTTTAGGAATTTCATCTTCGAACAAAATTCCGTTGTTAAACATAGATGTCCAACCTATTGAAAATATCACAAGGCCAAACAATCTTAGCAAGTTAAGTCAATAACTAGCAACAGTGTACAAGATAGTGGAGTTTGTTCCAAAAGATTTAAATCCAAATTACAAGATAAACGAAAATAAGCCAAATCGTGAACAACAAAATTCATTTCAATCCTTTCACTATGTTGTAATGTGCTTAAATTTGAAGCAACGGTAATCTTTACCAAATTAAGAATAAGATGAGGATAGTTGTGGTAATAAAAATGACATTTTCAAACTTTGTGTGTATCTAAAGAGTGGTGTATCACACACCCTTTCTTACTTGTCATGCATTTCTCTTAATATTCGACCGTAAGATTAACTAAATTAAAAAAAATCAAATGACATAAAATAAAAAAGATGTGTATGGATAACATCAGTTTATCAAAAAATTGTGACACTAAAAACATAATAGGAGGCGACAGCGAGGCACCCACCACCAAAGCAAAGAAAAGAAAACACCTCGTCAAAACTCAGTAAAAACCACTTTCCCATCTCTTTGCGTGCAGAGAGAGAGAGAGTGAGAGAGCAGAAGAAGATGTGGTTCTTCAGAAGAAAAGGGCCATCTGGGTTCTCATCATCTTCCACAGCAGAAGAAGTTACTGAAGGGATTGATGCCACTGGTCTCACCGCCATTGTTACAGGTGTGGGAATTTCCATTTGCTTCTTCTTTCTTTAAGTTTCATATGCAGATGGTATACTTTCTTCAACTATTATTCCGTATTCTTATGGGAAAATGCTCCTTGGTTCTGCATATTGATGTTGCAGGAGCATCGAGTGGTATTGGCACCGAAACCGCACGCGTTCTTGCACTGCGTGGCGCCCATGTGGTTATGGCAGTGAGGAACATGGCTGCCGGTAAAGATGCAAGAGAACAAATAGTGAAGGCAATCCCCACTGCCAAAGTTGATGCCATGGAATTGGATCTCAGTTCGTTATCATCCGTTAGGAAATTCGCATCGGATTTCAATTCCTCCGGTCTTCCTCTTAACATTTTAATGTAAGAAATGGACAGAAATGGTACAAGTCCTTGAAGAGGCTTAGTTCATAAAATCCACCTCAGGTAATAATAGCTTGTCTTTTCGTAAGTAACAATGCAGGAGTTATGGGAACCCCTTTCATGCTTTCGAAGGACAAGATTGAACTTCAGTTCGCCACAAACCACGTAGGTATGTTGCATTTGTTACTCTGTAAAACTGACAGTTTAAAGTACAAACAACAACAACCACAACAGCCAACCCTTATCGTACTAAGTAGGGTCGGCTGTATGAATCCTAGAACGCTATTGACAGTTTAAAAAGTATTGTTGGTTAAGCTGTTCTAATTGACTGAATGTTTCTTCTAGTTTAGTCTGTAGCCAATCTAGTTTTAGACCTTTTATCTCTCGGTGTCGGGGCATATGCATCAATAAACTCAGCTAACCTTACATACTTCTTTGATTCGGGAGGATTGATTGCATCTATTTGGTTATATTTCTGATTTTGCAGGTCATTTTCTGTTGACAAATCTTTTGTTGGATACTATGAAGAAAACAGCACTCAACAGCGGCAAAGAAGGGAGGATCATAAATGTGTCCTCAGAAGCTCACCGCTACTCTTATGCTGAAGGAACTCGTTTTGATAAAATTAACGACCAAGAAGGGTAACATTGAGATAGTTTTTAGTGTGTACAGGGTATTATATACGTGTTAGCGCATGAGTCATATAGTATTTTGATTAAATACGGATGGAGCTTATGCAACAAGTAAGTTTGGAGTTGGATTTTGATGCCATATCAGTACTTCTGCCTATCTGCAGGTACAGCAGCTTCCGTGCATATGGCCAATCAAAGCTTGCTAACATTTTGCACACTAATGAGCTTGCAAGACGCTTAAAGGTAATCAGCAACGTTAAATCAGCAGAATCATGTTTCTCAAAATACCCGCTATGCTTGCATCTGTCCAATACGTCCCTACTGTTATATCTAGAGATAAACACACATTACCTTGCTTTGTGTTTATGGCAGTCATGGTGTGTTGAGTGAACTCTGTTATTTGTGATTGTTCAACAGGAAGAAGGAGCAGATATAACTGCAAACTCACTTCACCCTGGTGGAATTGTTACCAATCTGTTTCGTTATAACAGCGCTATCAACGGTAAATCACTTCACTTAACCAACTATGTGAGTCTTATTTAAATGTAGAATTCCGATATAAACTGCATACTATCGCTTGTCAAGGAGGCTTTGTGTTCAGGGTATGTTTAAAGTTTAAACTGAACCAAAATTGACATCAATCCACAAATCTCAAATTTACATATTCATTATCAACTTGCTTAGTTTCGGATAATCAGACTTTTGGTTTTCTGGTTTGATGCAGGGCTTGTTAATGTGCTTGGTAGAGCTGTGCTTAAAAATGTTCAGCAGGTAATTCACATCTGCTTGAACCTCGAGCAAACAAAATACCAAGCGAATTTGAGTAATTTGAAATGTGAATTTTCAAGTATTCGTTTAAACGTAGAATGTCGTGTTGTTTGTTAACTTAGTCGATTACAGGGAGCAGCAACGACGTGCTACGTAGCACTGCATCCACAAGTCAAGGGGGTGACCGGCGAATATTTTTCAGACTGTAACCTATCCAAGCCAAGGCCGCAAGGTCAAGACATGGAGATGGCGAAGAAACTATGGGATTTCAGTATGGATTTGACCAAACAATTTTCCGAAAACTCTATATAAAGACTTAAGAGAGTGCCCCTTGGAAGATGAAAATTTTACAGTGTGTTAACGACTTAAAGAGACAAGGTGCAAAATCGAGCGCAATGACGTTTTAAGATTCATACAGCCAACTCCCTTAGTGGAATTAGCCTTGATTGTTGTTTGTTGTTTGAATAGTATACTCCAAGAGTGTTGTAGCTTGTGTATGAGAAGTTGAACAATATCCTTTCAAGGTGAATAAACTCCTTTTCTGCTCGAGACCTTTGTCGTTTTGAACAATATCCTTTCAAGGTGAACAAATTCACTTGACATTCGTTCCGAAAAGACAGGAGAAGTTGAAGAGGTATAAGAGAGAACCATGCAGTTAGATTTCTTCATTTCACTTGAGTGATGATGTACACTACATACATGATGACGATGATACAACAAAATAGGTAGTTCAAGACAGCATTATACAATGTTACACATGAGCCCACAAAAAATCGGTGCAGAAAACAGAACGTGTAGGCTTCAAAAATCTCCGACTGACTATTTCGTTAACAAGTCCGGCCCCCGGCTTAGTCTCCATCTTCTGTACAGCAGTTTCAGACCCAAAAAATTGTTCCAAAGCTAAATAGTATTTGCCTCTTAGCTTTTTCTTTTCCTTCTATATGAACATCTCAAAGAATATACATTTCTTGCTGCCTTGAGTTTCTTGCTTACCAGAGGAACCGCAATGGATCAGATCATCAGAAACCATCCTCGTCGGCCAAAATCAAGCATATTTCATAGCTCCAATCAGTCAAGCACTCAATGTTCTACAAGTCAAAACCGCATCTATGTACAACAAGAGTATGTTATTTGTCAGGATGTGAGCTTGATATGCATAATTCCGGAATCAGTTCCATCTCATGGCTTTGCTTACCGGATGTCATGAACCTGAAGACTAAGCCCATGCCATGCAAAAGAGTTGTCTGCTTCCAGCCACTAACTTCCCGGAGCTTCAACCTTATTCCGCAGTTCTTCAACTTTTGAGTTTTTATTGTACAAAATATACTTTCAGCATGATGGATGGTTGATCCAGAATATCCAAAATGGTCTGGTTAACTTGAGAGCTTGAACTGATTGGTGGTTCCATCAAAACAAGTTAGACACCATTTGTGCGGTTCGGCAAAGGAGAGTTGGGACTTAAATCCAGTTTCAGGTTCATCTTAACACGATCCTTAAGGAGTTGGCGAGACACCCGATCAGCTAAAACTGATTGTTCATGCTCTGCGTGGGCATGCCTTACAAACCGCTTTCCCAGAACATCATTTTCGCAGGGTATCAGTTCTGAGAAGATATGAGATCCTGGCTGCTTCCCTCGAAACATGTCAAGACATGAATCATGATAGGATGAAGAACCATTGACATAGAGACCATTCGAGGGCTTTGAAATTCCTCCAAAACCCTCTTGCAAGTTGATGGACTGTTTCATGTGAATAAATGAAATGGCACCACTGCCACCTGTAAGAGGAGTGGATGAGCCCGAAGTAGTACGTGGGCTAGATATAGGTGAAGGTGACATTCTTCCATTTAGGTGTGATGGTGACCTTGAGTGCAATAGAGGGCTTCCAATGGGTGAGACGGGGCATGATATGTTCCTTGGAATATGGATCTCACTGCAGTTTAGGCAATAAGATCAAAATCTTATTATCAAAATGTTGTAGTATGCACCATCACAGATGTTGTCACACACATCACCGGAGAGAAACATAGAGATAGATGGATATATATACATATGTGTGTGTGTGTGTGTGTGTGTGTGTGTGTGTGAGAGAGAGAGAGAGAGAGAGAGACCTGGTATGGTTACTAGTTTTTGAAACTCTAGATGAATGAATTGCAAGCCTATCTGAATCCAAGTTGGAGAAATTCCTTCCTTGCCCAATACCCTGACAATGATCAATAAAACACAACAGATGAAAATAAGAGGCGAGAAGAGAGGACCCGTGCAAATAACTATGCTTCATCAGAGTCCAATAAAGGATTCATAAATGTTTTTATACTTGGTGAAACACAACACAAGGAAAGATTTTCAATCCCTCAACGGATAGAGACACTAAAACACAAAGATTTCAACATCTGTATTCTCTCTACATATTGGGACTGGGTTGGGTTGTAATGTGAACTCATGAGTTCTTGGCACACGTTTAGGAAATAACAGATATAGAACCTGATAGCATGCACTATGCTCAAACATAAATGAAAAAATGATCACAAAACTACCAACACCGTAAGACACCAATTTTACATTTGTGGTAAAAATGGAATTCATACCAGTGCTTTCACTCCATTTGTAATCCCAGAGGGTGGATCAAAAGGCTCAGGGCTCAACATAGATCTTTCCAAAGGCGCAGCATATTTCACAAAAGGATGCTCCAAAAGCTGGGCAGCTGTAGGACGATGTAGTGGATTTCTCTGTAAGCATTGCCTTATGAAATCCTTTCCATCGTCCAAGAGGCTATCTGGCATTATTGGAAGTTCTTTGCTATTCCCAATCTTAAACATGGCAGCAACCTTTTAACCACAAAAAGAAAAATATTACACAATGTAAAGAATACTTGAACAGCCGCCATGATCTCAATCTCAAATTCAAATTCTTATAACCCCCAGCCCTACATCCAATAAATAAATAAATGTACAAAAGTATTTGTTTGTAGATATATATTCTTACCCCTTCATACTGGCTCCAAGGTGGTTTTGTCGTAGCCATTTCCAAAACAGTGCACCCAAGACTCCATATATCCACAGCAAGGTTGGCACCGCTTGAGTTCTTTATAACCTGGGCAAGCAACCAAAATGAAGACCTAAGTAAACCCATCAAGAAGCATGTCGTTGATGAGAAAAATCGAAAAAGTAGAAGCAATCTAACCTCAGGTGCCATCCAGTAAGGGCTTCCCTTAAATGATAACGGACATGACTGCCCGGTGATCTGCAAAGCACACAAGATAGTGGGTTATGGTTTGCAATATCATGTCAAACTCCTTTAATCATATTGAGATTAAGTATGCCTGCGCCTACATGCTTGGCCATCCCAAAGTCTGCCAACTTGACACGTCCATTTGGGTCTACAAGTATATTTGCTCCTTTAATATCCCTGAACATGAAAGATGCTTAATGTTCAGTAATTACATCACGATCAATATATTACAACGGTTGAATTTATGTTTCAAATTACTTGATCAAGAATAGATAATGAATTTCACCTGTGAACAGTGTTTTTAGCATGTAAATATGCCAGCCCTGACAAAATTTGCTTAGTATAACTACGAATTGCTAGTTCGCCAAATTGCCCAAAGTCTTGGAGAAGTTTATATATGGAGCCACCAGATACATACTCCAAATATATATATAGCCGGTCACCAACCTGTCATAGGAATGAATATCAGCATAAATTACAGTGATTGCTTGAATCTTCAAATAAAAGTTAATTTTGCAGAAAATGTGATTCTATGGGGTCCAATCTAGAGTGCGATGCTTAGCTTCTCCAAAGGCCAGTGAATTAACAACTTCTCAATGTGTAGAGACTAAGCTTCAGACTCATAAGTCATAACTAACAAATGTAATATTGACAAAAAAGACAAATGAATGAAAGATCGATATTTAAATGTGTACTAAAAATAATATATCATGGACAAAAGACTTACTGATTCAGACCCATAATATTGCACAATATTTGGGTGCCGTAAACGGCTCAATAAAGCAATTTCCTGTCAAAACGTTGCAACATAAGAGTCAAATAAAATAAATGAAGGAAAGCATATAACTTTTGTCCAAGGAAAGAACTTGAAACCTAAAACGAAATACCTGGTTTAATTGCTTAGCGCTTTCCTTTGACTTTGCATCATCAGAAAATAATGTGACCTCCTTCATCGCACACATTTCACCACTTTCACTGAACAAAGTTGGTAATAAAAAATCAGATTGGCATAAATTTCACACACAAGCAACCCATGAGAAATCAGATTGGCATAAATTTCACACACAAGCAACCTATGAGAAAAACTAATTTATTGAGATAAAATGGATATTTTTTTTTACTACACTTGGCCAAATCATCAAGCAAATATCATTAGAACGTTCCATTAGCATTTGCTCCCAGAATTTTATATCCTTTAGAGTATTAATGGCTAAGTACTTAGATAAATGATTGCTTAGTTGTGTGTGTGGGGGAGAGAGAGAGAGAGAGAGAGAGAGAGAGAGAGAGAGAGAGTGTGTGTGTGTGTGTGAGAGAGAGAGAGAGAGAGAGAAAAGAAATGTATTTGCGTATCTACCTATTAAAACCAACATAAACATGTCCAAAGGTCCCTCTACCCAGCAGCTTTCCCTTTTTCCAGCGTGAACCAGGGCTTGATGGGTTCTCTGCCCTTCCTGGACTTCGTGGCACAGAAGGAGATGTTGCTGCTGAATTTGAATGAGAAAAAGGGGAAGCAATTGTAATTGTCGGGGGAAGAGGTAAACGGTGACTTTGTTGTTTCCCATCATCAGCCCAGCTTGTCTGTGTCTCATTGGGAGTCCCTCCTGCTCTAGGGTCAATAGGCGTAACAGCACCACTCTGAATTCTTGAGCCTGGGCCTGGGCTTGTCATTCTGGGACTAGGTACCGGAGAATACTCAGGGCTACCCCTGCTTTGTTGCCAAAACAGCGGTCCAGACATATCCCCTCCCATTGAATTATGCCCAGAATTGTGACCCGAACCTGGACTGGAGCAGTGGCCAGATCCAAGTAGAGTGACATCTGTATAAGTTTTTGCAGCCCAGAAAGCAGAGTTCACGACTTGCTCAGTGCCAAATGCTCTCATTGGGCTTCTAGAAGGACTTGACAATGAGCTGTCGGGAGCACTGCACAAAGCTCCATTATAAGGAACCTGTAGGTTTGGCACATGGCTGCCTAAAAGTCTTCGTTTAGGCGATGTAGGGGAAACGTGATTACTGAAAGAAATGTTAGCTGATTTTTTAGGCTCTCTTGAGAGTACTGGAGCAACAGTGGATGACTGATCCTTGAGCATCACACTTCATAAAAATTGCAGAAAAAATGTCAAGGATGAACAAGCTAAAAGAATTACAAATAAATCATACACAATCATGCATATTAAAAAAATATGCATACTAGTAGCATAATGGCATGTGCAATAAATGAAAGCTCACCTGCAAGGGCTGCCAGCAGCCGTTCTAGGACCATTGTCAAAGTCAGTTGCCTGAGGGCTACGATGGCATGATGAGTCAGCTGGATCGTCACTATCAACAGAGCTCTCACTAGAGACTGAATCAGTGACCATGTCTCCATCTACGTCTGTATGATTTGACCTACTACCGATGCACGCAGGTCTCGGGAGAGGTAGAAACGATAATGGCTTAGAGCCTTTTTCTGATCTCGGTTTTGTTGATATACTAATTCCAGAATTTGTACGAGCAACATGAGCAGGATGTAGACCAGGAAGTGGAAGTGGTTGAGCATTAGTCCTTTCAGCAAAACTTTGACATCTGGCAACATTTTTTGAGGGCGAAGGAGATCTTGATTCTATAGGGGATTGACATCCCTTTTCCGAAATTGTGTCATTGCAATTTCTTCGAGATCCTCCTGATCTACTATTCACTCTACTTTCTGAAGAAAACTTAAATTTCCGATGTAAAGAGTCAATGAAACTTTCCTTTCCTGCCTTCTTCTTTGCTTCTTTGGACGACAACTTCCCCCACCATGAAGGCATATTTCTCATACAAGGTTTTTAAAATCCAAGGGAAAGTGCTTTAAAGGAAGTTCATTTTCTAGCATTATAAGTCAATTGTATAACACCATTACATGGGTTACCAATCCGTTACACGAGTTCACAATTAATTCAGCACATTATCAAAATCTGCAGGGATAAAGGCCGCATGTCAGTAACTCTATTTAAAGGATTTCTATGTTAGTTAATAGACCAAAAGCTATGCTACAAAAACAACCAAAATTAAGTAAAGTCCACTAGCACCTAAATCTTGAGGTCTAAAATTTGGTAGATCACAGGAGTTTGACCATATCAAATACTCGTGCTGTACTCCCAAACCCGGCTTCAAACGACACTTAGTGAACTCAACAAATGTGGATCATTGAAATTTAGAGTGCAATATAATATCCATGCACTAAGTTAAATTAGCTCACACCCACTTCTTTCCAATCCCCAAGCCTTAATCTTTGTTTGGTTCCTGAGAAAAGCAGCAAATTGCAAACGAAACCCATAATTTCAAATCCAAACCTTGATAAGTTGGGTCATGTAAAACAACAAAAAGACTCTGATTCAACGAGCACAACGGACGTATTGCCTCCAATTTTCAATACCCAAGAACCAAAAATAACGGTAACAACAACGTTCAAATTTTCCCTTTCAATTTGCTTTCTCCAATTTTCTCGGGAACCAAACAAAAAGTTTCGATCCCAAATTGCTCACTGCCACAAGCTCGCAACACAGATCTACTTGCAAACTTAAACACTAACACAGAATCCACAGACAACTAAATTAACTCAAAAAATCAGTAATTTACTAAACTTGGATAACAGACAAAACGATACTCACTGTAAATTTTCAGGAGCTGCAAAATCCGAGCTGAACCCACTTGGAATCTGGCACGAATCTCGACGATAATTTGATGGGCTGAATTCTGATTGCACAGTGAAATAGCTCGGAGGAACAAAATCCCTGGAAATGAAGGACGTAAAGCGGATTGGATTATGAGGAATTTGATGTAGGTTGTTGCAATTGAAAGGAAGAAGAGAATCGTGGCTTTTAGAGAGAGAGAGAGAGAGAGAGTATTCTATTCTGAGCTCAAAAGACATTAATAAGTTGTCTGGAGCTGCTGAGTTTTCATTTTTATATTTTACTTTTAAAATACGAATTGGTGATGAAAGTAACTCTTTTTCTCGATATCTTACCATCATTTTACGAAATTTTTGTTAATGATCGGACTTATTCGTATTATAAATTATTATATACAGATTTTTTATGTACAACTTTATTTATTTGTAGTATAAAATAAATGATCGGAACCAATAAAAATATTATGAACATTTATCTATTTTGCTATAACTAATTGATGAAAAAAAATTACTTTTAATTAATTTTTAGCATATTGTTAGCTATAATACATGTACTTTTGACCGAATCTTATTTTACCCCTCTATAGACCATTGTAATTGCTCAAAGGCATAATTTCCTATATCCACTAATTATTTTAATAAAAAAATGTGGCAATGGTGATTATTAGTATGACGGTCAAGTTATCACGTTATATTATTCATATTTTTAATGAATTATATCATAAAATCATAAGTTGTTTTATATGATATCATACTTTTTATACTTATATTATAATACGTGAATTAAAATTACTAGACATTATGTGATTATCACTATAAAATTCTAAAACATTTGTATGTTTTATGAAAATATTGTAGAAAAGGTAAATTGAGTAGTCTAGGGACAACTTGATTATATTTGCCTAAGAAACAAAGAACAGACAACTTGATTGATACCCAACTTTTATTTATAAAGTAGTGCCGTATCTTCCCTTTTTTTATTCATCATAAAGCATACTTATGCCATCTAATTCAAATTAGCATGTTACAAACTTACTAGTAATAAGATCAACTAACCTTAGTGAAATACATAATGTTTGTTTTTTTTTTTAAATGAGATGACAATGATTTTATTAAAACATTAAGAACATGTATAAATTGAAGAAGTTGGGGTTCATCATAAAACTAATGGACAATATGAGGAGTAGTCTAGCTAAACACGTGGGCAACACAAATTGGGTGACGTGGAATACGTGTAGCTGTTAAGCTTCACAAGCAGTACAACCTGGCTCTAGTACCATAAAGAATATAGAATTTCATTATAAAATCAATTGGCAATATGAGGAGTAACTCAACTACTTATAAGTACACGCAAGGTCTCTCATTTCATCAATGTAAGATTCATTATCAACACAAATTTCAAAAAGGGTATCTTGAATTTAAATCAGAAGGCTTTTCAAACCAATAATACTCATAAAGCAAAAAAAAAAAAAAATAAGGACAACTTGATCAATCTAATAGACATGATACAGGCGGTATGTGAGTTTAAATTACACAATGTTAATAGATTTTGTTAAGTGGTAATTTTGTTTTGTACAAACTTTTTTGTTTGTTGGTGTCTACTGATTGAAGTCATTGTTTGGGTATGGCATAATGGCAGCAGAACAAAATGAGCTAGGGTTTGTCATCATATCATACCATCATTTTGTTGGAACCAAATATTAACACTTCTTAATATGTGCAATCAGAACAAAATGAATTGAACCATCCTATTCATTGATGGGGAATCCAATCCCTCCTCTAAAAATCTGTGTGGGTCTCACTATTTTTGCTATTCTCCAATAAGTAAACATTGAAGTATCCTGTATTCAAAATTCAATTCTGTTTTTTTATTCCGATTACCTTTACGTAAACGTGGCATAATATTTACAAAATGATCTTTAATTCATTATAGGATAAGATCATTAAGGGAGTTGTTATTGGTACTCTGAAAAATTATTATGAAAAGAGGTACGTGAGGGTATTATGTGGTATTCAATACACTGAGAATATTAGCTGTTAAATCATTGATCAAGAATTTATGACGAAGATCTAAGGCAAAAAATTATGACACGTAAGATGACCGTAATATAGGAGAATTTTGGTAGTAAATGGTAATGTGCCTCTTCTTCACAAAATTTAGTACCCATCAAAGTATATATTGAGTTTTTAAATATTTGTTTTTCTTTTTTGTTTGCTATAGAAAGTCAAATAGTTTTTACCCTATTAAAAGAAAAGGAAAGAAAAGATGAAGCCGTTTTAACCATTTTTATGCCAGCAAAAAGGTAGAAATAGTGACTCATATTTTAAATTTCATATTAATATTTTTTCTGAATATCTAATTAAAATGGAATTTCGAGCATGTGGGAGGTCCCCCAATAAACCAAAAAAAAGTGAGAGGCTGCGGATTCGATGTTGTGAGTTAGTGAGTCTGCTTGACTGTAGTCACGGGTAGGGTGAAATTCCACATACACTATTTGGACTCAAAAGAGATGGATAACGGTAACTCGCCACCAGTTGTTACCTAAATAAAATTTTGAGCATGTAAAAGAACCATCGGCGCTCCACCGTCGCCATCAACGACTGGATGTTTGTGGTGGTCTCCTTGAGTTTCATACACTTCTCGTCGTTGTGCAGAAAATGGTTTTGTGTGCAAGCATGTAGTGGTCCCTTACGAGCATGCAGTAAAATCTCTCCTCATGTAAAGAGATCAATACTTCTCCATGCAAATAAGCCGTATCAAGTGAGTTTTTATTTAACAGATGGTTCACTGTTTAAATATGCAACTAGCATTTATTAGAAAGATCACGCTACTTAGATTATGCATTGGTTGCATGAAAGTTTTCACTCGACATGTCATGTGGAGATGCACTCTCTGCTTTTTGAGTCGATGTCGCATACGATATAAAAACACTCCAAATTTTTCAAACTTCAAATTGTGATTGTGAAAGTTTGTAAATCTTGCGCCGTAGGTGACTTCGTACACGAGATACATGAGGGCCGTCTCCTTGTTTGTTTGTTTTCTTAATTCGTGATAATCTTAGGATGAATATATGACGTTTTGTTTTTGTTTTCACACTGCATTTTTAGTCATTGTTTGAGGTGGAGAGATCCGGTCGCATATGTCGCACATTGGTAGTCTTATTCACCGAAAACATGGTACAGGAATTTAGGAATTAATATAATATTATTTTGGAAAATAAATACTAAATTAATTTCTTAGGAATTAGAATTGATTTTATTTGGTATTTAAAAGCTTAGGGGCAGGGGATGCTCCGTCATCTCAGAGTCAAAGCATTAGGCCACCTCCAACCAACCCGGTTAAAAGGTTATAGGGCTAAAAATTGCTCAAAATAACACGAAAAACATCTCCAACCGATGGCTAGGCCAAAGGACTTGTGGGCTCCATCGAGTCCAAACCCTCAAATCAGGCCAACGGGTTGGCCATTTCTGGCCAGCCAGTCAACCCTCCAGCACCAGAATGTCAAGCTTGACATTTTGCCAACCCTCCAACTCAGCCCATTTGAATGATAACGGCTACCTAGTGTCAGCCTGACGCCAACTAACAGCGACTAGCTAACGTCATGTTGCCGTCAAGTTACCGTTGTAATTTGAATTTTTTTTAAGACAAATTTAAAAAAAAAATTAATTAATTTTTTTCCCTATAAATACCTACATCATTCCTACAACATTGAAAGCTGAAGATAAGAACTAAAAAGTGCCACGTAGATAAGAATCATATCTAAATTTTGCACAACTAATTACATATTGACACGTGGCACTCGAAATCCAATCCAAAAAATTATTAAGATTACATAAAGATAAAAAATCTAGAGAGTTACTCGCTTTAGTGACACGTGTCACTTGGAATCCTATCCAAAAATTATTGAGATTACATAAAGATAAGAAATTTGGAGTTATTCACGTTAGCTACACGTGTAACTCGAAATCATATACAAAAAATTATTGAGATTATATAAAGATAAGAAATCCAGAGTCTTATTCATTTGGCGACAAGTGACACTCAAAATATGTTCGAAAACCTTATTTTAATATAGTAGTTTAATTTAATTAACCATATTAATTGAATTAAAATAATAAATTATGTTTGACCTATGGTCCTTTGGCCCTCTCGGTTGGAGATGATTTTTTGTCAAAGGGCAATATTTGGTCTATGGCATCATCGGTTGGTGATGGTATAAAATATGCTCTAGCACTGTTTATTAAAATATAATTTATTGTAGGGCTATCGGAATATAGGGTTAAAGGGAGCCTTTTGACCCTCATTCGCTTGGAGATCACCTTATTACAAGCATCTTTAAGAACTTACACTTAACCTTTTTCTTCTTCTTCTTCTTCTTCTTTTTTTTTTTTTTTTTTTTTTTAACAAATCGCCCATAAGAGAGATTTCTAGCAACGGAACTCGAACTTAGGCCTTAATTAGTGAAAAAAATCATCCTTGCTAACTTAACCTGTTCTCGTTAATTATCTTAAAATTGATTTTCATTGGAGGAAAATTCTATTTCTTGTGTATTTTGTGCCAATATTTTGCTAAACGTAAGGCAAGAGTTTGGTGTTGGGAGATGAAAGATGGCCAACCTGCACACAAGGGGAGATGCACCAAAGCTATTTCACGCTAAAATTTGTGGGGCCACGGATCGCACGTATCGTGCTCCCACAATCCTTTTCTTTTGTAATGATTTGGCTTTGCTTTATGTTGGGGCCAAGTAGGAATGTACGATTATCATGTTTTCACGTAATTTTATAAATTTATGTGTTATAATATAGATAGACGTGATTTTATAAGAATTGTAAGTATAAGTTGATTAATAAGCAATGAAATTATTAAATAAATAATATTACATGACAAAATGCGTCACGCTAAAAAAAGGGACTCCAAGAGAGGTGGATATAGTCTAAAAACTTTCTCAACGCATTGATACTCATTCATCAATGTTACTTGAATCATACTTGAAATGGCTTCTAAGTTCCAAGTTATGATAGCCGCCAAGACATGACAAAATAGCCTTCTCATTCTTCTTAAGCTAAAAATCATTATGTTTCAGGGAATATACACACAAAATTGTTACAAACTTTTAATTAAAAATAGAACTCAAAGCGACGTCAGAAAGCACTAAATTGTTGTGGCCGAATTTAACTGAAGGAAAGAGACGGAGTGCGACAACAAAGGGAAAAGAGAGATGTAGGAAAATTCTGTATGTATCTTTTTCCCTTACCTTGTGCATTTATTTACAATAAACATAACGAGCTTACTTGTCTTACAAGTAAGAAAGCCTACGATCTTCTAGATTACACAGAAATCTTAAATATAATTTATTAGTATTTACACAATCACTAACTACAACATAAACCATAACATACTACAAAAAAGTGTTGGTTTTGGATTTCTTTAGTTTATTTTTTATTAAAAGTTTTAGATTTGATACTTTATATGTATTTAATACAATCACTGTCACGACGATCATATGATGATTGGATAAAATACATTTATTGACGTGAATTATATCTGATTGTCAAATAATAGTTGCATGAAAATATATGTAAGTATTATAACCAGTTCCAAAAGTTTGATAACCGTCTTTAGCAATTTAGCACTACAATAGTCATCATGACTGATTCTATATGTATTTACTACTAATCAAGTATATATGTACTGTAAGGCCCAAAACCCAACTACTCTACAGGACCATAATATTTTCTTCTCTATTTTTTTTTTCCGGTCCAAAGGCCCATAATCCATCTATTTCAAAAGCAATTGAACCCAAAGGTTGATGGCCGACAGATTATAGTAAAATCTCACTTAGTACTACGATATGGTGATATTCATTTTCACTTATAAGTTGAGAAATTTTAGGTTCGACTCTCGCCATAGGCTAATTTTGAACCACTTTATTGTTAGCTCATTGTAAGGCTAAGCTCACTCCCTAGTGAAAATAATATTGTTTGTTAAAATAAAAAAATAAAAAAAAAAAAAAAAAGACTGTAACCAATAAGGCTCTATGCTTTGAGAGGGTCAGGGGAACTTCTATCGTATGTATTTTTGCCCTTACTTTGCAAAAAAGTTATTTTCATGACTCGAACCGTGATATTTCGGTCACAAAGGAGCAACCTTTTCCATACAAATGTAGAAATAAAACTATACAAAAATGCTTGCTTTCTTTGTTGTCCAAATGTTTCATCTAATTAGTGTTAAACCAATAGCAGTAACTATAAGTGTGGAGGGGACTCCAAATTTCAGATGACTCCAGAAGGACAATGTGTAGGCAAGTTGTGGAGATTGGCGAGCCTGCTCGCACACTATCAAGTTGGCTGCTGATCCCAAAAGCGACAGGTTTCCGGCCACGGTGCTCACCCAAGCTAATAGGAGCCACGCCTTCTTCTCCTCCGCGGCAGAGATTAGGGCCGCCGACGCTGCCACCGGCCCTCCAAGCAACAAAACTATCCAACATAAAAGAAGAAAAAAACATGCATGTTAAGTGGCCGCTGAAAGTGTGAGAATATTTTGGTTCTTATAGAGTGCAAACGGAAAATAATATCAGCATGCATACCAGTTGGTACATTTGAAGCCAAATTTGACAGCACAAGTATGGTGACTGCAAGAACTGCTATCCCGCTAGCACGATCAATTTGCGCATGCGGCTCCATGAAGTCCCAAAGATCGCTTGGAATGCCGGTCTTGTTGAATCCATTGACGGTTATAAACATTCCGCAGAAGAAAATCAAGAGCGAATAGGAAACCTGTCAAAGAAAGAAACTTGTTACAGTTGTAATGTAATCTAACATACGGAACTTTGTGCTCGTGAAACTTACCTTTTCTAGGCTTGGACGGGCATCCGTGAAGTCAAGAACAACCAGAGCAAGTGCAGCAGTAATCGCACACCACGACATATTGAGGCCCATAAGCAGTGCAATCAGCATTCCTATAGTAATAAGGTAAACACCAGATTTCCACAATATCCTTTTCCATCTTGTCGTCAGATGTTCCTTCCCTTTCAACGACTCCGTAGGAATTGCATCTGTTTGTCTATCGTTCGATGGAGACCTTTTTGATGGGATTGTTTCGTCCCTTTTATGAGAAGACAAATCATTTGTCTCCTCTTTTGATGCGCTTGAAATTCTTGCTGACTCTATCGCGCCACTAGGAACCTTGTTTACTTCATTCTCGCTAGAAGGTAAGCGATTTCTAAGAGTCTCGACATTACCTATGCTCACATCAAGATTCGGAGAACTTTGCAGAGTCGGGATTTCCAATCTAGAGTTCAGTTCTTGAGAGTTTAAGGATGCACTATGTGACAATGTAGCTGGCGAAAACCGATGAGAACTTACATCCTCCTCTGGAACAGGTTCCAGAGCTGGATCTTCCTCATCCTTCTGGACGGACAACAATCTCCAGAACATACATAGAAGAATCAAAGCATTCACACAAACTCCCACAAGCATTGCAGGGAGAATTCCAATCACAAATGTCCCAAAAGATATCTTGCTCTGAACAGCTATAACAAGGTTTTGAGGATTGCCAATCGGGGTTGCTGCAGACCCAATGTTTGCACTCGAGGCAAGGGCGAGTAGGAAAGGATGAGGCGGGAGTTTATGTTGTCTTGCAACTTTCAAAACAAACTCGGTCAAAACCACGCAAGCGGTGTCATTGGTGAAGAGAGCGCTCGAAACTGCAGAAATCAAACAGATTCGACAGAGCAAGTCCTTTGCCCCTTGAGTTTTCCACATGAGCAACTTGCCCAAATACTTGAACATATCTGCTCTTTCGAGATAGATACTCACAACCATTGTCCCGAACAGAAGACCAATGATTGGGAGATCAATCGCAGCGTATGCTTGATCAGGAGGTAAGACTCGGAAAACAACCATAAGCATTGCCCCTAGGAGGGACCCTGCAGTCCTACCGATTGGCAAGCAAGGGACAGCCGGAAACACAGCCAACACCCAAAAGACTGCAAAAGCAATCGAGCCAAGAACCACTTTGACAGGAGAAGCCATTGCCATTTTTCCAACTGAAGACTGGACGTGCTCCCTCCTGTGCACTCAGATTTGAACCCTGTAATCTATATTAGTTTAAAGTAGAATATCGCTTATATCATAAGAAGCTGAAGATCTTACTCATGATAGCTAACCATAGCATCAATACGGGCCAATTCCATTTAGCTAACGAAAAAACCTGAATACGAAAACCAATTCCAGTTGCACAATTAGATTTAAGGAAGATTCAACTTAGAAACTGAATTAGACCAGGACCAAACAGCTTGAATGCAAACAGTAAAACAAACAAGAAGTTCTATATAAGGATCAATGTCAATCCTCTTAACAATCGCATCTTAAATCTCAATAATTTACAAGAAGAACCAAGCCAAGATTGAATCTTTCAATCTGTTTAATAGCAACAACTCAATAGAAATTTACAAAAATTCATCAGGAAAAAAAAATGGTCAATGGCGATTTGTTTGCTGATTTCAACAAAAACCCTTATCCAAAACCCACTGTATTTGCTATAAATAGAATGAAACGGAAAGGTAGCTCAAGTTGGACAGAAAAAAGTGCTTTACTTTTAAGCAAAATCTAAACTAATTAGCAGTAACAGGACCAAAAGAAACAAAGATCTTACCTCGAAAACAGGTTCAAGGAAGTGGGGATTGGACTGCTTTTCTGTATCGGGTATTTTATAAATAAGTTAAAAGGGAATCGATCGATTTGCAGTGAGTGGGGCTTCTTCTCAGTTCCCAAATCGACACAACGAAATTTAAAATAAAAAGCTAAAAACTTTGACCGTGATAATCTTTGTCTTTAATATATGCTTGATGCTCTTTTAGGTCATACCAGTCTAAATCCCACATGAATGAAACATCTCGGCCCAATGAGAATTTTTACAGTGTGCCGAAAACATTGTCTGTGATACAGTGTTTTAATACAAATAGTTGGATATATTCTTTCGTTTTTTCGTTCCGAATTAACAATCTAGCCTTAAAACGAACAAAAATTGTTTATATTCATCATCTAGAGTGAACTAAATGTTGGTTTTTTAACTTTAATCCTTCAAGAAGATTGAAATTTAAAATAAATTCGATTACATACTGATTATAGTCTCTTGATGTGTCTTCAATTCAACATAACTAATGTGGATTTTATTTAATGTCTCCCATTAAATATTTAAATTTATTAATATACAAATTTTAATTTTTTTTTACCAAAAAAAAGTTTTTATTTATTTTATTTATTTAACATTATTTAAACTTGAAAGGCTCAATTAATGTACCTAAATGTATTATATTGAACTAATGTATTTAAATGTTAGTACCGAAATGTATATACTTAAATATATGCACCGAAATGTATTCAACAATACAAGGGCAAAAACAAAGAAATAACCATGGCTTCCCTGCCCCTGAAAATGGTAGATAATCGTGACTTGTCACCAGTTATCCCTTAAAAAAAAAAAAAAAAACAAAGAAATAAAAGTAGAAAAAACTCAAAAAATAAAAAATAAAGAAGGTATGAAAATCACGGTCTAAATAAAATGCCTTATTTTATATGATGCAAATATGGGGACTTCACTCTTATTCTTATACTTTTCTGCGGAGTTTTATTTTTATTATTATATTGATAAATTATGGGTAAAAAAGTTTGTACTCTATTTTAGTGAGAGCGACAAAATGATAATGTTTAGTCGATCTGTATCTTTTGTTTATTGGGACAAATCAGCGACATTATTTTTACACATTTTTTAAGGAAATTACTATTGGTACTTCAATTTTTATTTTGCATTTTAAATATTTTATAATTAGAAAGAAAAATATACTTGTGATGATTGTAGAATGAGATTTTTTGAATGCTAAACCCTTAATCTGACGGTGAAGTAATTTCATATTTGAGTGATTTGTTCAACATAATCTTTAAGTGGAGATAAAAAAGATAAACGATTTTAATCGTTAAAATACACTAAGAAGTAGGCTCTAAAAAACGTGAGTAAAAAAAAAAAAGTGTTACCGATCGGCACCCAATATTACATCCTTTTTTAATCTATTGCATGCGGAATTTAATATTTACTGAACCTCTGTGAACCAATCTCTGGTTTGAACTTTGATCTGATGAGAAATTGGAAGTGTTACATCGGATAGGGAGTGGAAGTAAAAGACAAATTGTGACATGGCGTTCCAAGACAAACGCCTAATCCTATCATTATTTTCTCATAAGATGATAGACTTGATAGTGAGGCAAGACTTGCAAGAAATTATTTAATGTCAGTTATGTAACCTATAATTCTTCTTTTTTTTTTTTTTTGTGGATGACGCCGACCAAGTGAGGCCCGATCAATAAAATTGTAGAATGAGACTCTTTAACTCATTAACAACAAAATTCGGTTTGCAATAGATATATTAAACATGTACGATGCTTAGATGGATCAGCGACAAAACTAGCATGCGCGATGTAACATGTTTTGGTTTTTGATTTTGTCTACTATGTTGCCAAGAGAGAAAAACAAACAAGAAAGAAATAAAATTGAATGATAGATTAATTAAAGATGTCTTTAAAAAATATTGAATCATACGGATTCATAATTATAAAAGCATTTAAGATTTTCACACGACACGTTTTCGGTTTAATTTTTTATGTCGGTGAATTACACGATCATGACTATAAGAGGTTGAACTATCTTTGTAAGTGTTTTCCACCCTTAAAAATATAAACCATCGTAAAGAAGCCGTTAGCTGATTCTTTTTAACCAAAAAAGGTTATGTGATAATCTTTAACCAAATCATGTGACACATTTTATTAAACCATTAACGTCAATCTCACATGCAATAAAGAATTGGAAGTCTAATATTTTGAGCTAAATACGTGTCAGAAAGAGTCAAAAATATCTTCCTCGAATGAGTTGCTCTCATGTGTAATTTTATTTTTAAGTCTCATGTGTATGTTTTGCTCAACTTATAGCCCATATTGATTATTAAAAAATTGTCAAGGACGGTTTGCTGATATTTGTGTTTGTACTAAACGCTTCTGCTTATAAGCACTTACATTATTTAAAAGAACTTTTATGAGAAGTATGTCAAAAACTTTAATTAAAATGAGGCACTTGTAGGTAATGAACTCTAAGCTCCAAAAGGTGTTTTATAATCCATAATTAGTTTTAATGCGTGTCTAGTATTTCTTCTAAAGCGACTAAAAATGTTATCTAATAATCAAAATGTTTTTATTTATTTATTAAGTTTAACAAATAAACTTAAAAAACATGTTTATGTTGAAAAAACACATTTAAAAAAATCAACAAAAATGTGTTTCCAACCGAAGCAGTTCCAAACAAACCCTCAATTATTTCTAAGCACCACAAAAACCTATTGGTGTGCAATTAGCCACACTGCAATATGCATCTCGATCCAGCTGATGGTGATGAGGTTTGGAGTTGGAGCCATGAACTTTTTTCCACATGACATGCTGCCCTAATGCTTTCCTTCTTGTTTTATCATGTCTCCTGGTTTGTTGGTCACAGCCTGTTCCCAGTTTGCATTTCTGCCCTGTTTTGGGCAAGCGGGTAGGACAGACTTTGAGCTTTTTTTAACAACAACAAAAAAAAGGACCGGACGATGGTTTTGTCACGATAATCCATCTTTTTAGATGTCGGAAAAACTCACATAGACATTTCAACATCTCATAGCCACCATCGTGTGATTCATCAAAATCAGGAATTGAACCCATAATGTGCTGTGTAGAATATAGGTCAAGAATTCGTCTCAACCACTAAACCATCTGTGGTGGTTGACAGAGACATGAACTTTGGCCACTACCGATCTGACATTTTTAATTTTATGCTTATCCTTTTAATCCTTCATAACAATTATTGGCGCCGTCTTGATTGGTTGCACATCCATTACCCTACAATGCCAGACCAGTGAAGCTCTTACCCTACATATTTAAGGCACTTCATGCGTTCCATTCCGTCTCCATTCATTCCAAGTTTGAACCTGGTTTCGGGCATGAACCCGATTTTGGTTTTCGAATTCACAACTGGTTTAGGGCAAAGAAATCGACTTTCGAAGATATAATGCATTAAACTTCCAATAAGGCCCAGAAAGTATGAGCTTTCTGGGCCTTTTCCTGATAGAATGCGATATGCATCTTCGAGTACAAATCCTACCAAGATAAAATGCATTACACAAATGACGTAATTCGACCTTTATATTACACATTGAACAAAAAATAATCCATAGCACATCATCTTTATAAGTGAATTCTATCCTCTGTATAACATCAAAGTAAAAAAATGTTCTAAAGAATGCTCTTTGAGTACTCACTACTCACACTAACAATTCTACAATGTATTCTCTCTGAATTATGTTTTTCGTTCGTAAGAAACTCTCACCTCTGCATCCATTCATCTGTCAACAACGTCATCCCCTACCTATACACATCAGTAAAAGCCATGTTGAACCATTGCTATGTCATCTAACTCCGGGTTGTAGAATCGGAAAGAAAGTCCAGTCATTGCAAGGCTTAGATTCCTTAGCAGCAACATTTTTGTTAGCCCACCATTCTGAGCCGATGTTGGACTTACTCGGAACTTCAGCTTTTGTGTAATCAAAATTAAACTCCTTTGTCGACCCAAGTGTGATGGATCTTTGCTTCCGGTAACCTTGATCCTCCCCTTCTCCCAAAGCATTTTCAGGAATTCTACTCAAACTTTCCTCCACATTAAACTCGCGGTGATTGTTGGAGTCTGTTAATAACCCATCTGTTTCAATTGAGATTTCTGCTGCTATATCATTTGAAGATTCCGTTGCAGTTCTCAATGCTTTATTCGCAAGACAGCATGCAACATCTTCACCAGTCAATTCAAATGACACCCTGTGATCAAATACAGTTCCACCATTGTGACATCCACTCTCTGTGTTGGCCAGGGATGCCACCTCAGAAATCTGGTTCTCCATATGGAAACCGTCTGTCGAGGCTGGCCCTGTACCATCAGGCGTCAAACATCCAGAACTCATCCTGGAACCAACTCCCACACCATTGGGGGTCAAACATCCGGAACCTAGCCTTGAACCTAGCTCATAGCCATCTGGTGTTAATGTTCCAGAACCTAGCCTGGAACCCAGCCCCGCACCATCTGGTGTCAATGATCCAGAACCTAGCCTTGAACCCCACTTATGATTGGTAAAATGGTCAAATCCATAGAGTTTGGGACCTTCCCCCATGCGAAACTCAAGCATAGGGTGTCTGTCTGGGAACGGAGAAGATGTTCCTGAATTCGATATTGCTGATCCTGGTGATATGAGATCACCACCAGGACTTCCCGGACATTGTTGGTAAGGCTGGTATTCGTATTGGGACAGTGGAAACTTCTGGTTGTTGCTACTGTTTCTACGTTGTCGGTCCAATGAAGATGACAGAAGTTGAGCAAATGGCACTTCAGGGGATGAAGGTGTAGTCAGCTGAACGGATTCGGGAGGGGGAGTGAATGGAGCAGTAGATGGTTCAGTGTTGAACGTAGAGAATACAGGTGGTGACACTAACTGTGTCTCATATGCATAAGGGCCTATGGAAAACATGGATGCAGGTTCACCCGAAGAGTAGGCATTTACAGAAAGGGATGTGAGGGACAGAAATCCAGCAGGTGATTGGGAAGCAGACGGTGGATCGGATGGAAGGAAAGATGCAGGAGAAGATGGAGGGGCAATGAAGGGTAATACAATTGCGGTGGAGGTTGTTTGGTTATCAGAGGTTGAAACTGCAGCTCCTGGCACTACAGGCTCGGGAACGAGGACAGCATGACCAATTCGCTTGCTAGTTTTATGTGACCCGAAGCACCAATATAGGCTCCAGCAGCTTCCCCATCTTCTTTTCTGTAGTCAAATGGTAAAAGATTGTCAACGACACAGTTTCAAAATTTAACACCAAAACAATGCACGAAAGACACCAGAAGAACCAACTCTTCAAAATTTATCACCGCAAAGATTTGAGTTCACTCTTGACCCACAAACGAATACAAAAGTATTTCATGTAAAAGTTACTTATACACCATTCTACATCAGATAGCAAATAACACAAAGATGGCAACTGAAATTGAATTTTACAGTTTTTGGGTTTAAAGCTATTCCGGTGTACTGGCACTCTAAAAGCCGAATCTATAAAAGCCATCGGGCGACATCCTCCATAGCAATGGCGACAAGAAAGAAGAGCTGTTAGAATGGGAAGTAGGTACCCTTCCCCGCTGGATTTCTCCGCTGAAACTCCAGAATATCTAAACTACGAAATGTTCACCAGATACCTTACAGAAAATTCTGAAACTCTGCTAGGTGCTGCCTAGCAAAATCTGGAATTCCCGAGTTATCTACCACATCAAAACATACCTACCTAAAATACTAGCAGTTGAAATAAAATGAAGTCACCATAGCAATACAAACACAACAAAGTCTCCATCAAACTGAAATTAAAATAAATTCTTACATTTTTATACCAATTAATCAGTCATTAAATTGTCTGAGTTCAATCAAATTTCTCAACTTTTTCCTCTAATGTTTTCATTGATTTGAGAAACAAAACAAGTCATGCCACACACACACACACACAGATGTGTGACAATTCCAAGGATTATTTGCACTACAAAAACACTCAAAGATTCATACTTTTCACTTTTGAGGATTGAAAATAAGTAAAAGAACGCAAGATCAAACTGGCCATAACTGTGTTTTTAGATTCCCACAGTTTCTCAGCAACCAAACAGAGTATAACAAGGACCCAAAAGTCACAACAAATTAACAAATTGGGAGAAGAGAAAAACACCCATGCAGAAATATATATATGCAAGAGAAGAGGGGGGGGGGGAGAGAGAGAGAGAGTTACAGAGATGTTGGTGGGCTGGGCGCGAGCTTCGGCGGAGACGATGGCGGTGGCGGCGGCGTTGATAGTGTCAACGCTGCTATTCATGATTGCTTTTGTGATCCCACAAAGCTCGTTGCTTTGCTTCAGAAGCTAAATTCTTCCGCTTTTTTTGTTCTCAAATAAACAACTCGGGCGAAGATTGAGCAACTGGGTTTCGAATTCCGAGCTATGTGGCCGGATAAGGAGAGTTTTTCCGGCAAGATTCGACCGGCATGGCGGATTCGATCTGGTAATGAACGTTTCTTGAACCTGAATGAATGAACGAAAAATGTGAGCTTGTATTGTATATGCACTCTCTCTCTCTCTTGAAATGGGACCCACACGCTTATTTTTTATTTCTATTTTCTAGCAAAATCCATCTCGCATTATTGCATTGCTGCATTATTTAATTTATTTTTATAAATATTTTGGGTATCAATTAATTAAAATAGTGTGGATGTCGACGATGATGGCGATAAACCAAGGAGAAAAGAAATTAGTTGCACGTGGGCTTGTCACTTGATGCATTATTTAATTTCGAGAATTTTAATGAAAAATTTTCGACACTGTTTATTTTAACGAAAAATTATATTTTTACACTAAAAAATCAATCATGATACTATTCACTTTACCATTTATTTTGTCATTATCTTTAAAAAATCAAAGTTTTCAAATTTTTTATTAGTTTTTCTTTTAAATTTTTATTATGAAATTATAAAAAGTATATATATAATATTGTTGTATATTTTCTGCTAGAAAATAAAATTTATAACGAACGGAGTACATTCAAGTTTAATACATTCCAAGCCGTCGAAGGCAAGGAGTGATCCCAAATGTAGCAATTTTGAATAGAGGGACCATAACTAGTACCAACGCCTGCCAAGAGGTTCGTTTCTCTAAAAACATACTTCTAGGTGATGATAGTAAAAGATCAGGCAAAAAAATAACCTATGTTATATGTTTGTATTTTCTTAAATGCAATAACTTAATCCCTTGTTGGGAAAGGTCTCGACTGTATTCGAGAAAATATATTTGTTCGTTTTATATCTCTAATCACATGAACCTACGCAATAATCTCTCCTAATTTGTTTATTATTGATACAATAGATCTGATTGGTTTTATGTTTTTCAAACATAATAATGATCTGGACATGTTAACAGATTCTCTTCATTGCAATGAAGAGGAACTTGTTCCACAAGTTACATATGTATCTATTTAATGTTGACAAAACTAATAGTTGTATAAAACTAGCTTAATGTGGCCATGGGTTTCACTAATTAATGATTAAATCTTGCAAGTTGGGGGATAATTGGATAAGGGATTGGACAAAAGAAAGCCAGCTGCCATCTATCTCACACACACATTTTTTTAATAGGTGATGTTATTCACACTTTCTCAAACGCCATTCTTAATTTTCAGAGGTTGAGCCGAATGAATTGAATAAGATCGATAGATAAAATTAACAAGAGTATGTGAGACGTAAAAACGGGTGTTTGAAGAGCATTACCTTTTTTTTATTTATATGTGTAATTTTTTTAAGTTAAACATTTTTAATTAGAGCCGTTTGACAACTGAATAACGCTAGATAAACCAACTTTTAAAACCAAATATGTAAATTGTGTGACGTGTCACCAATAAAAAATAAGCACGTTAATAAACACTAATCTAATCACCAATAACCGTTTCATACGATTTACAAAATATAGTTTTAATAGATTGTCTTACTAACATTACCCTAACTGACTACTTTCAGTTTTTCAATTTTCATAAAAATGAAAACTGAAAACAACAAAGTAAAAACTGAAGGCAAAATTTTGAAAACTTAAGAAAGTATTTTTCTTGTTTTCACTTTATGAAAACCAAAATAGCTATCAAACAAGATTTCAGTTTAAAAAAGTAAAAACAAATTATTATCTAACGACCCCTTAATTAATACTAAAAAATTTATTATTGGTAATGAGAAATGATATAGTATTTACAGCAGTCGTTTTTTTTTTATATATATATATTTTTTTATCACAAAGTTAGCTTTCATTATGATAAAGACCCAAAAATGGCTGGATAAACAACAATAGGAAAGTAAAAGGCCCAAGCAAAATGAGTGCAGCAACCTAAGATACAACTGAAGGCCCACACAAGCTTAGATCCGAAAACAGCAGAAACAAACAATAAAAAATCATATTCTCCAGCAGCAAATACCACATGTTATTTGTACAAATTAAAGTGCTTCTAGTAGCCAGAGAATACAAAATGACATAATTGGGCTCTAATGTAGTTTTAATTTACCAACCATGTCCCACCAAGTTAATGATTCAGCGGTGATTTTAATGGGAAAAACAGCGGCGGTGATACTCATGACTCGTAATATTATGGGTTTCTGATTTTTACGTTACGCACATCCCTCGCCCCTCTCGTGACCACATTTCAGTTGCGATCCCCACAACGGAACAACCCAACAGAATAACCGTAAATTCAATAACTTTTCAAGTTAAATATAAATTACAATATTTAGTGGGCCCGATTATTGGAGAATAACTGGGGCGTTTTGCCAATGAAGAGAGTTAAAGGTTCAAAAGTTAAAAAATGTTTGTCTAGAAATTTATCCGTAACCAATGTCTGAGTTAAAATTTTATGGATAGCCCACTTATTTGGCCAAAAGGGCATTAGGCTGACCAAATATATCCTTCTCTTAGCCCATTTTTTAGAGTCCAGCTCTTCTGTTTTAATAATTAATTCAAATTCAACGGCTATATTTGAACATACTACGGTAGTTTAGTTAAATTAACTAATAAATTTAAAACTAATAAATTATTGAGAAGGTTATATTTAGTTCATTCGATTAGAGAGAAGGTATATGAGTAGCATGAAATTGTTCATTTCTAAATAATTTTTTACGAGGCTATAACTTTAGATGGGGTTGTGTTTACCTATTTCGTTTGGAGATGGCTATACAATATCATGTGTAAATTTTTCTTTATATTCTGTTAATTTATTGGCAAAAAAGGTTATAAAATGATGTATTAAGTGCTCGTTTAAAATATCTTTTAAAATAATCAAAAGCATTTTAGTGGAAATCTTTTTTAAAATAATCCTTAATAAAAATTTAAGTGGTTATTGAAAAAAACACTTTAAATGATTCATACAAGAAACACATATTTAATGTATTTTACAAGAAAAAACACTAAAATATTTTTTGAACCCAAATAGTTTCATCAAATTTTTTTTTTTAATTATTTTACATGTACTTTTAAATGAGTTATTAGTTGATCACTATGTTGAAATGTAAGGCAGACAAATTCCAACCAAGAAAAGAAAATGAAAAGGCAGAAAGTCCTAATTTTAATTATATTTTCCACTAAGATGAATCCTTTTGTCAAAGATGTGCACGTGGGGGCGATGCCTTTGTGTTTTCTGAATGGGTATTTGTGCGCACCCCACGAGCGTAAGATAGCGACATGCACATACATTAAATTAAACTTGCACGGGTGGTTCTCGCTTTTATCATCCCTCCATCCCATTCAATCCTTTTGCTTTCCGATAATGAAATCTCAACACCCTCTTTCTTCCAATTTATTATTATTACTGGAAAGCCGGATCCCTTTTCACCTAGTTCGAAATTCGAACCGTTGAAATTTAATTCAACAGTTACAATTACAGTTACTATCACTTTTAAACGAGTCTCTTATTTTTAGTTATTGGATTAAATTTTAACGATCCGAATCTCGAACTAAATGAATTAGATAGAAAGGAATCTGAGAGGATCCCTTTACATTATTACTAACCTTTTTATCTTCCTAGCTTTGTACCTTTTTACCTTTATGGTCTCAGATTTTACTTTTTAATTATTAAGTTTCATGTTACCTAGTCACACACACTTACATTAAGATTGTGTTCTCATCTCTACTTGAACTTTATGATCAGATCAAGTGAGTTATGAATCTGAATGATATATAGTTGTTCAGGTATAAAATAAATTTATTCTTATATAGCTGATATGATACGTGATTGTTCACATGTAAGATTAATACTATGTTGTAAGAGCATAAAAATTTCGAGATGAAACAATACAAGCTCCTTTCATATCTATTTGTGGTAAGTAAATGTACAAGTGATTTATAGTAGACAGTGTTCGTGCAACCCATAAGGATTTTGGATTGAGCCTAGACGTCGGACTAGAACCCTTAATAACTAAGCTTAGTTTTCTCCCCTAGCAAATTCATTTAGGGATCAACTATGTCTTGAGATCCTACGAAAACGGAAGAATGGCTTGGAAAGTCCTCTGAATACCTTATGACAATCTGATACAAGACTTAATAGTGCCTATCAGGTGTTCGTTGAAATGTATACTCAACATATCTCAACAGGGCACGATAGGTGATGTTTGAAGAGTCTTTGTAGCATAGCTTGATATATGTCGACATGCCTACCAAATGCTCAACAAAACACCTCATCAACCCAACATGAGACAATACTCTCAACGCGACACTATGGAGAAGCCTTTCCATGCTGGCCCCAAGGACGGAGCTGTATAGGGCCTAAGGGAGCATCCGCCCCCACTCAACTGTGTGTATACTTTTGCATTCCAATTCCCAAGTCCTAATTAAACTATAAATGAAAAAATGGATTGCATTTCAATTCCAACGTCAGTTCTAATTAAACTATATAAAAAAAAAAAAATGGTCTAGTGGAAAAAAGACAAGGTGCATCCGCTAGTTTACATGCTTGTGACATTAGCATTAACTCTTCCAGTTGCTACTGCCATTGTTGAAAAAGCATTTTTGGCCATGAAATTTTTGAAGAATCGATTGAGAAATCGAATGGGAGATCAATGGATCAATGACAACATTATTTTTATAGAGGGAGCTATTTGCATGAAAACGCGTAGGAATATTGTAAGATGTTGTATGAAAAACTTTATGGATTAATATATAAGTGTTTTGTGCAGTAAATTCTTGAGTTTTTTAATTGTACCTTATTGTTTGAAGATGCCCTCATTCTTACATATTTCTGGTTTCGTCCCTGGTTGGCCCACCAAACAAGGATAATTTATCATATTAACGCTCATCATATTCATATCCCACTTTGATAAAAAAATATATATATATATATATATATATATATGTTTGGTTACATTTGAAGTGTAGAACGTGATACTTCTTTGTTCTAGATCCACCCATGTAACCAAATATTGGAAAAGGCAGGGGCACCCAAGGGAGGTGCAACTACTGGATATTTCATAAAATGGTCCCTCTAATGGGGTGGCTAGGTGGTGTGGCTATGG